GCATTTACTTCACATATAAACTGTAGAGTACCATAAAACAGGAACAATCTTGTATGCTGTAGTTAGGCAGACAATGGACTTATGGTTTAAACTCCTATCCAGGGTACTTGATAATTAAGGATGAATACCAGCCCTAAACATTCAAAATGCCTTTCCCCAACAAGAGTTCCTAACAATAATCTAACTTGATTCCAAGTGTTTGCACTCCTATTATAAGCAACACATTCATTCATAATTACTTTTGTACATTTCTAAACTTGATAAACGTAAAATTATCATTATCGTGAATAAACATCAAAAATTATAGTGTAATCTCTTATCATTTTTATAGAATTCATTAAAAAAACCTCAATTTTATGCTGATGCTGGGGTTCTGTTTTGTGTAATCACGATGGCTCATCGAAAGGGGGGGGGGGGGGGGGGGCGGCTAATACAAATATATTGGGGCCACCGATTTATAAAACAGCTGAAGGGCTTTTAGGATTCCAGCGGGAGCCTGGACTGTCTCGATTCACTACATATGTATGGGGAACTCGGGGGCAAGAAAGAAAGAAACAAAACTAGCTATTCAAAATGAATTTATAGGTTAAAAATCAGATGTTTTTGTTTTGTTTAGACAGAATACAGAAGATATGACAATATACATCGATGTATAATGAGAAGGAAACAATAATATTAATAAGAATAACAATCACAACAACAATGAAAATAAAATAATAATAATATCCTGGCTTTATATATATGTCAAAAGCTTTAAAAAAAAGAGCGTATGTGTGAGTGTGTGTGTGTGTGAGAGAGATAGAGAGAGAGAAGAAAAGAGAGAGAGAGAAAAAGAGAGAGAGAGAGAGAGAGAGAGAGAAAAAGAGAAAGAGAGAGAGAGAGAGAGAGAGAGATCTGAAAAACTATAAGATGGGTATTCAATTAACATGCAAAAAGATGTGAAGCATGAACATGCTGATTGTCTACAAATGGAAACCATTCCATGACCTCAAAATGAATTTTGAACCCGAGAGCTTGCTAATTATTGGTTTTCAATATGGAAATTACTAGGGGCAGGAAGAAACACATCTAGCAAACAAGTCCCTGGGGAAATTGAGCTGAACAAGAAAAAAAATGACAGACAAAATTAAGAAAGATTTTTTGAACAAGGATAACCCTGCAGGGTAGCAAGAACAGAAAGTTGAATGTAAAAGGGGAATAGCAGTTGCCTCCGAGTCGATCGGAAGCTTTGTATTAATCACATCTATCTTCATGGATTATGATGAGTTCATAATGACAGGGTTTATTAGGCATGGGACTGCATCAAATACCTGATCGCTATCTAGCTGTTTGAGTGTATGAGCAAACTCATGTGAACTCATTTTGTAAATCTTGAGCAAGTTATTAAAAGTGTGGCATTGTGTATGATAGTAAATATAGAATAGAGAAATGGGAAATTTGTTTAAAACATTAAAAATAATAATAAGCATTTCTATTGCGCCGTCTATCTAGAAATTCTATTCCGAGGCGCATTTATTAGCTTCAGCCTAGCTGCCATTACAGCACTCCAGCATTTCAAGCCATTGCCTGTGAAACGCTGTAAACTCGTGGATTCATTATAAAAAAAAACCAAGGCAAAATCATGATGAGAGTATATACCTTATGAATTTGTGCATGAGGGTGAGACAAAGAGAGGAAGAGAGAGAGAAAAAGAAGAGAGAGAGAGAAAAAAAAGAGCGAGAGAAAAAAAGAGAGAGAGAAAAAAAAAGAGAGAGAAAAAAAAAAAGAGAGAGAAAAGAGAAAGAAGAGAAAGAGAGAAGAGAGAGAAGAGAGAAAGAGAGAGAGAAAGAGAGAAAGAGAGAGAAAGAGAGAAAAATACATTAAGAGAGTCAGAGGATGAGAGAGAAAGAGATAGTGTGTACCGGTAAGTAAGAAACAGCAAAAATAGAAGAATACAGAAGAAATTCTGGAACTGTAAATGATATTGGTATTAATGCCAAATTATAATCTAGATAAGTCCACTAAATCAAAGAGATGACTTGTGGTCAACATCAGTCATAAATGGTCCAACTTGAAAATGACAGCTGTAACAAACTGATTCGGTTTAACCCTATCATTACCAAATTCTCTCCTTCTCATAAACTTAATGCAGGAACAACTCGGTTCCAATACGCAAGGGGTTAAAGGAATCTCCGCAAACATTCAAGTGGACTCAACAGGCTATACATCTCATGATCTATCTGGGACTGACGATTACGTTGCAATACCAGTGCTTAACGTAAGGCCAGCCAATATACTGCTGGACTTGAACGGTTCTGGACTCTTGGTATGTTTAACGGTAGTCTAATTAAAACACAGAAGGATACTAATTGACCTAATTTTCCGCTAATCCTTTCTATGACACACAGCCCTACGCTATACATTCATGGAAACATGCGATGCTACTATAGGTTGTACAACACTTGTTTCTGGGACAATTTTTCCGCATCAATTTCCTACACTAACCATATTCTTCACTTCAACATACCTAACACTAACCTCAAGCACCTAACATAAAACCTAATTGTAACCCTAACCCTTACATGATGAAATAAATGAAGCCTTGAGTAATTGATCAAATAAGTAGGGTCAGCACCGCAATTGAGGTGCTATCTCTTGAAATGCGGTGCTACGACCTCAAGTGAGAACAGGAAAAGAGTTGCTAATCCTTGAAGGCGAAAACGATGTATTCAACCAGAGATAGTCCGGGAGTAACGATGTCGAGTGAGAACAGCGTGGATTTTAGTACAGGGCTAAGGTCAGTACTAGGCTAAGGAAAATATGGGGCTAAGAAAACTGAGTGTGAAAAGCATATTTGAGCAATTAAGAGAGAAAATCGCCATATTAAAGTCCTACTAGCGTTTGAGTTTGTATGTATGATGAGTAAGTATGTACTATTGGCCTGTGTATGAAACAATGTGGCAAATGCAACTACAATATAAATGATCTAAATTCCAAAGCAAGCCCACCACTCGATATACTAGATGTACATAGGGGAATTTTTCTTTTTCTTTTTCAGACCACGGTTGTGTATCGCCATCTATTTTGCCTAAAGCTTGAAACATAGGTAGGCCTATACACTACAGGTGTTGTACTTTAGAGGCTTGTCGGAGCATATCCCATAATCCTCGGGACAGGATGTGAGGGTGTGGAGCACCGTTACAAATTTAAATTGATCCCTCTGATCCATTGTCATGCGACAGCCAGATCAGACACTAAATAGCAGCTCTCTATAGGCCTGCCTTCATCAGCTCGAGTTTGCCAATTCCCGCTATTTTCAGACTCGGGATATTGATCGATTGATTGATTTTATTCATTTCATACAACAATTGTTTGCAGAATAAAGAACAACGTTTACAAAGTAAGTTCAAAATTATGAAATGAAACAGGAACCTACTGGAAATCATAGCTTGTTTTTGTAGGTTCCCAATAATAAATATAATATTCCGAAGCTCGAAATTGCCGCTTCACCAGACCGATAGGCTCATCACAAACTAGCTCGGACGCGTGCAGCAAATTAGCCTGCTATTTCCTAAATAGCGGGATCTTTTGGAAACAATACTACCTAATATCCCGCTAATTGCAACTGCGGCCTGATGAAGACGCAAATTAACATGCAGTTAAAAAAAGCTGGTTATTTGGCAAACTCAAGCTGATGAAGACAGGCCTTATAATGATCTAAAAACTATATATATGTATTGTAGTAAATGGATTGTGCCTAAATGTTGATGGTATACTAGCTATTTCAGCACACATCAACAAGTATGACACATCAGTGTAATTGGATATTTAAATCCTGTTCTCCATAAACTGGTAATGCAAAGAAAAAGTTATGTATACTGTAGTTTTATCCAATGCTCTTAAGAGACTAGCCTGATAACCTAAATCGTCATCTCTTTCGACGATTCAAAATGGTTTCCAAGCTCAGCACTAATGTCCTTTGGCAAGATATTAATCCAAATTTGCCCATGTAAAAATACTTTTCTGTTTGCAGGAGCTATTCATGCTGAAAAACCCTTTCAGATACATCCTTTATTTCCACAAGTAGAGGTTATAAATATATTAATAGAAGACAGCACTTGAACTAGGGCATATACTCTTAGAAAAATAACCTATCACGGTTAAACTGCTCAGATGACTGTACAACCAATCAAGCTGGATCTAAATTCAGTTAACCAAAACAAAGTAGGGCCTAAACGTATACCTCAGAAAATAACCTTTCACATCAAAGTTTTGCAAGTGATTGTACAACAACTATTCAAGATGAATCTAAATACAGTTTAGCATAAGCCCTTCAAAGTATATCCTTCATTTCCACAAATAGAGATCATGAATATATTAATAGAAGATAGCTGTTGAACAAGGGCATATATGTACACTAGAAAAAAACTTTTCACAATTTTATATAGAGGGGCCTGGACTACCAAGGTCAAATTGTGTCAATGCTAGTTTTACTTTCTTTTTGATGACATAACAAATTAGAGGCACCAAAAGTAAGGGGCCTACCAAATTAAAACTCTATACTGTTTTTAACACAGATTTTCCAATCATGAATTTGATGACATTGCTATTTTCAAAGTTTTTTCTCCAATTGAACACAGAATTAAACTGAGATAAAGAATCTTTAAAATCTTTAACATTCTGCAAAAAATATTTCTTTCACGTTGAGGGGCCTCGGATATATTCCACTGTTTCCTGTCTGAAAAAAGATACATTGAAAACAACAACAAAAAATCCTCAAGGCATCAACATTTTCTTCATGTACGGTCTTATGCCCAAGCCACACTGATGACACCAACATCAGACCTAAATGACAGTTGACCTGACCCGAGGTGACCCGAGGTGACCCGATCTGACCTGAACTGACCTCAATGGCCAAATAGTCTGTTAGGAGCAAGAAGGGCATTCAACTCATACCATATTACATGATTTGGCGGTGTGACTGAATTATTATTTTTTCTTGTGAAAACGTTTTTACTTACCATCCTGTCTTCTATCCACCCTTTGAGGTCAAAGTTCAAAGTACCACCGAATTCGTTGGTAAGCTGCGTGGGGTCTATCCGAGCATGGAGTTCGGTGGTGCTGTCCACAAGGTCAATCTGAACGAGAAAGAGTTACAAAAACAAAACGAAATGAAGTTCATTGGTGACTTTTAATTAAGATCCCGAGATGAGCGAATACAACGTTGACGATAGTTCCTTGAGAATAATCCAAGCGGGGCAGAAGATGCGTTGGTGTCTGTGATCGGTCACCAGTGGGTCATCAAAGGCAACCACATATATATTCCAAGAATGTGTCTTGAGGTGGGGGAAGGATTCCCGACTGCCTTGTAAGTTGGCAAAGAACAGTCCCCAGAGTGTTGATAGGTCCAATTGGTGCGGTGAAGGGACGTCGACACTCCTAAGGGGCAGTTACGAACAATAATAGAGATTTCCTGTGGGGAAGCGCGGCAATTCCTTCCTTCCTTTCGTTAACCGTTTACTGCTACCCGTGTTTGTTCTCCAAACCTGGGTTTTGAATACCACAGGTGCGAGCACAAGGGAACAGTCGTAGAACAAGAAGGAGATAGAGAGAGGAAGAGAGAGAGGGGGAGAGAGTGGGCGTCCACTGCGATCTCCAAACAACTTATCTGTCTGTTGCTTTGGTCTCTGACTCACGTCCACACAGTGCTCTATTAAAACATTGTTCAGTAGACGCTGGCTCGGTAGCGCACACTGCTGAACATGACTACACCTACCTACACGGTAGCGGCAAGCGCTCGCACAAAGGGGGCACGTGACGTCACGCATGTGCCTCATATCCCTTTTGGGATCAAGGGGAGGGGGGCAGCGTCCAACTCTTGGGTCTGTCAGGACGGGCAAGGGGAAACCCAGTGCACGGAACACCGAGCAGGAGTTCCTATCTCCTACTCTAGGATTACAAACCTTTATTTTGAGCAAAAATTTAGATTAATCCAAAACAAAATCATTTTCCGAGGAGATTTTTCCATCTATGCAGATTTATTTCCCCAAATATACAGGTATGCATTTACATGTATGACTACACGTTTATGAAATTCAGTTTTATATACATTTATGTACATTTGCCAATCTTATTGAATTGATGAAAGGAGCGAAGGTGGGAAAGGGCTTGGGTCTTGTGCAATTCTCAAATAGTTATTTAACTTTGCCAGATATTTTTTCATAATAACTCCCAATGGGCTAATAAAATCAACCAGATTCTGAAAAGAAAAATAATTGTACAGTGTGTACTAATGTTTTATAGCCCATTCGTAATGTATTCATCAGAATGTCCCTTGCTTTACAAAACACCACCAACACCAACAGTTTAAATTTAAAACCTTTCCTCTAATCATGAAAAAGTTTTGTAATAAGTGAACAAGAAACTTAAACTTTCATTACTTTTTGCATAGAAATTCCATGACATATATATTTCCACCTTATTTGGCTACTGTAAACCCAGAAAACTTTGCGTGCATGAAATGTTTTGCAAATTTTGTGAGTCTACGTTTAGATTCGTCAAAGTATCATGCTGCAAAAAAGGGCTGCCCTTAATACATTGCAACAGTTTCATGTCATAATAGGTTCTGTTTTACAGTTTGCTGATCATTACCCACATACTCCACGGTCGGGTCTGCAAGCACGAAGACTAATCTCTGGCAGGATACTGGGGGCATTGGAAGGGGGAAATCAATGATTCGTCGGGTCACGTCACTCAGAAAAAAAAAAAACCCTCTCAAAAAGCTTGCCGGATCCAAGAACTTCTGGTCCCCCTACACCGCAGTCCCGATAATTCTAGCTGTGCTAATGCTATATAAGATCGAGATGTAGGTCTTTTTTTTCTTCTTCAAGGAATGAATATTGGCAGATCTTGATAGCCTCTCGAGAACTTGCACTAGATACTTGGAATAATCTGCCCCTTTCCAAATTGCTCTCTCTCTCTCCTTCTCTTTGATTCTCCCTTTAGCTCTCATTCGCTATGTCTCTCTCTCTCCTCTTATCCCCCAGACTTTCCTTTTCTGTCTCCCCCCACTCTCTTTCTCTCTCCCCCTCTCCCTCCCCCCCCCCCCTCTCTCTCTCTCTCTCTCTCTCTCTCTCTCTCCCCCCTCTCCCTCCCCCCCTCTCTCTCTCTCTCTCTCTCTCTCAACAGTGGATGGGACTTGTGACTTCTAGCAAGACTGTGTGGTTTACTTATCATTTCCATGATGCCAAAACCTCAGACAACTGAACAATTTTTTCCCCTCAATAAACCAGTTTACTAACATTTTCCAGTTTTGTGCATACCAGTACTTTTTAAACACTTGTCTGGATTCAAAGTATTGAAGTTCATTCAATAATCATTAATAAAAGGTTAATGCAATAACCTGTCAACTAGGTTCCTAGGAAAGAAACATCCATAGATTTGAATATGTTAGTAAACCGGTCTCCTTCTTCCAGGTTTCTTTCATAATTTATTCACTTGACCTCTGTACTCAGAAAAATATTATTCAAAGCTCGTCTGCATGACTTTGGCCAGGAGGGATTAGACCTCCCTGCATGGTCACTGACAGGTGGTTATCTCATTAAATCAGCTCTCATAAGAAAAAAGGGGATCATGGGGGACCAACAGGCACCAATTTGGCATAGTTTGCTATATTGAGGGTGCAAGTAGCAACAAGTAGAGCAGTCCTGCTTTAAGGTTGATAAAGGGAATACTAAGCTTGAATTTAAATTCATCCTCGAGTCCTTTGAAGCGCATCTCTGAGAAGGTCTTCTGGAGAAACCCTCTGGGTTTGATGACGTACACACCTTGGATGATACTGGGGAAGTAGCCGTGCTGTAACTAGTACGGACAGGCTTTGAGGTTGATATAAGGGAGTACTAACCTTGAATTTGAATTCATCCTTGAGTCCTTTGAAGTGCATCTCTGAGAAGGTTTTCTGGAGGAAGCCTCTGGGTTTGATGACGTACACACCTTGGATGATACCAGGGAAGTAGCCCTGCTGTCACTAGTACGGACAGGCTTTAAAATTGATATAAGGGAGAACTAACCTTGAATTTGAATTCATCCTTGAGTCCTTTGAAGCGCATCTCTGAGAAGGTCTTCTGGAGGAAGCCTCTGGGTTTGATGACGTACACACCTTGGATGATACCGGGGAAGTAACCCTGCTGTAACTAGTACAGACAGGCTTTAAGGTTGATAAAGGAATACTAACCTTGAATTTGGATTCATCCTTGAGTCCTTTGAAGCGCATCTCTGAGAAGGTCTTCTGGAGGAAGCCTCTGGGTTTGATGACGTACACACCTTGGATGATACCGGGGAAGAAGCCCTGCTGTAACTAGTACAGACAGGCTTTAAGGTTGATAAAGGGAAAACTAACCTTGAATTTGATCATCCTTGAGTCCTTTGAAGCGCATCTCTGAGAAGGTCTTCTGGAGGAAGCCTCTGGGTTTGATGGCGTACACACCTTGGATGATACCGGGGAAGTAGCCCTGCTGTAACTAGTACAGACAGGCTTTAAAGTTGATAAAGGAATACTAACCTTGAATTTGAATTCATCCTTGAGTCCTTTGAAGCGCATCTCTGAGAAGGTCTTCTGGAGGAAGCCTCTGGGTTTGATGACGTACACGCCTTGGATGATACCGGGGAAGTAGCCCTGCTGTAAGAAGCATAAGGAAATGGGTGGTCCAAGCTCATCAGAGAGTGTTTAGTGGTTAGTATGGCCGGCAGATAGCATGAATGAGGCAGATAGCATGAATGAGGCAGTTAGTAATTAGTAATTTCTATACTGTATATTGTTTAATTGATGATAATCATGATTAATGAAAAAGTTATCAATATGAGGCAGTCAGTATTTTCTAAACTGTCTACTATTCAGTGATACTACTAATTACAGTAAATCTGAGAGCGCAGTTAGTAATTTCTATACCAAAGTTTAGAATATTTATAAAGAATGCTCAAGATGGTCCGAGCTCATAAGAGACTGTTAATTAGTGGTTAGTATGGCACTGCAGATAGAATGAATGAGGCAGTTAGAAATTAGTAATTTCTATACTGTATATTATTTCATTTCAAGACATATTTCATTTCTTAGTATGTATGTTTGTTGTCTTGATTTGTGTACATTGTATAATATTTAGTAATGAATATATTTCATATTTTTTATTATAAAAAAGGGTCAACCTTTATATAAGGATTATGTTTCCTTTCAGGTTGAAACCATTTAGTTTATTTTACATCCTTGTCAAATAAGTTAATTTTATGTTGACTTTTTAACTGAATGAAATAAAATTGAATTGAATTGAATTGAATTGATAGTACTAATTACAGTAAATCATCATGATAAATGAAGCATTGAGTAATTTTTACAATGCGCACTTATTGGATTTGTGCTAGTTATGATTAATGAAGCAGTTAGTAATTTCTTTACTATTTTGTTGGTGCTAAAATCATAATTAAATCATGTTTAAGGGGGAAGTTTGTAATTTCTAAATGTACATTTCAAAATATTCATAAAGAAAGATCAATGTATTTTAAGCTCATTAGGAAGGGTTTAGTGGTCAAATAGTATGGCACTACAGATCCACTATCTGCCACTCTCTACTCAGGAGTAGAATGCATAGAATAAAGATTCAATTACTTGACAAACACTGTGTACTGGTACATGCTGTTACCGCCAAAGAACATTAGAAGTGCAACTATAGAGATGCAAGTGCTATACTAAAATGCCATATTCATCTACATGTACATTCAGAATCCAATTTCATAATACTCTATCAGTCATATGACATCAAAAACAAATTTTAAAAAAAAGTGTGATTATTTTCTCTAAATTACAATAGTATGTTAATATCTATGGAAGATAAAAATGAGTGTGAAATTATAAAAGTCGCAGAAATGCAGAGATATTTTTGAAAGAAAGAACTGCCAATGTTTATCGCATCACAAATGAATAAGCTTTAAGAGGGGTTTAAGTGATGACATTTGACAATGATACCACAGAGGTGTCTTGGTATAGTGGTTCATTCACTAGATTCTCAATTTAAGGGATGAGGGCTCAAATGCCAGCCTGGCACTAACATCCTTTGCCAATACATGAATCCATATTTGCCACTCTCCACCAAAGTGTAAATGGGTATCTAACAATTGCTGAGGGTAATTATAATTGTAGGGCCCACAGGGAGAGCAGTATTAATCATGATGTGGCTACCATTTGTAAATAATTAAGCCCCAATTGTTATCATCATTTGTTGATAATAATAATATTCTGCATTTGCATAGCACTTAATACATGGACGATGTCTCTACATGCTTTGCAGATAAATCATAAGATTATTATGTAGTTTAACCATGCAGGAGCGAAGAACAAATAAACCCAATCTTTATGTGCTTTAACAATAGGAAAGAGATTTATTTTAAGGTTATGGACAAAAGCCAAACATTTAAAGCAATTCCCTATAGCAGGCCCTTCGCATTCTGTAATTTGACCTTTACATACAATGGGAACAACATAAACGTGAACGTCATGGATTTCACCTTCAATTAATCAAGGAGAGAAAATCATTGCCAATGGGAGCTACTATACAACCGCAAATTCAAAGACGCATGAAACTTCACAAATTCTGTGTGTGTGGTGCAGGTTGGTGAAAGGTTCATGCTGCAAAACGATTGAATTACCCCCGTATGACGATGAAAATGTAGCATATGAATTGTGAAAGTTGCTAGCCATGAAAGTGGCCATTGTTATTAAGTTCCACTTTTTTTTACAGTATTTGGTTGGCGTAAGTTGCGGTGCTTTCTGTAATATGAAGACAGTGAAATGAATATCTCGTCATCATAACAGGACTACTAATACCAAGGTGTATTCGAAGGGTGATTTATGGCCAAGTGTGACTTTATTTTGAAGACTCTTTGAAAGAAGAATCTTCTCCCCTAAATCAATATTTCTAAAACCACACAAAGGTGGGTAAAATTTTTCTATTTTTTTTTTCCTGCTAGATATCAAATTCATGAGGAGGGGGAGGGGGGATTCCGGTCCATGCCCCCTTTTAAACCATATCTCAAGTATAGCAGAGACATCATCCCTGAGAACACATATCCAAGATGTGCCCCCCCCCACTCCCCTCCTCTTTAAATGATACTATTTTTGTCCCTTTGTGTTTTGCTTGTCAGAGAATTTTCAAATACAAAGGCATCACAGAATCATGATTTGGTTCTTCCTTTTGGGTTTTCGCATGCCATCAAATTTTCATGAATATTGAACCCCCTCTTTTACAAGTCCTTCATTCACCCCAAGTATACCTTTAACACAGTTTTGATAATATTACATGTACAATGTATTTGCAGTTATTTATTTATCATAATTTGCTAATTGATTTTCCTATGATCCCCCCTCTCTGGGCCATTAATTGCCGCACACAGGCAATTAACACTGATCCAACAATGACTAATTTTTATGTGCTACATATTATTTTTAACACAGAGTTAATCCATACACCTGTTTGTATGTATGTTGTAATTTTGTCTGTATGTTTCTCTGTTGTTTGGTGCCTTTTGCTTTGTTTTTATGACGTGCTTTTGTTTTTCGAAGAATTATATGAATTATGCCCCCTTGAAATGTGGTAACTTTTGTGTGTATGCTTGGCGGCACTTTTTGAAACATGTGACGTCTCCCCTTCTGTAAATCGAGTCACATAATTCTGGATCCGTCACTGACTGTGACTTGAGAGTTACAAATGATGTGGATAAAAGTTAGGTTCATACGACACTCCACTAACTTAAAGTTTAGGTCATGGTTTTAAACTTCAAAGTTATTTAGTAGTTGGGGACCGTGCAGACCCACTTGTGGTACAAAACTTTTAATTAGGTAACTCAATGTTAAAAAACCACAAACAAGCTGAAGGTTAGCGTGATAACTACAAGCAGCATAGGGGGGGGGGGGTATGGGGTAGGTCCTCGCTGTTACTCACTCGAACTTCAACGCCAGGCTGGTGCGCTTGATTTCATGGTGACACCAGTTTGTAGTTAAAATGAATTTTTTCCTGGTTTGTAGTTTAAAACTTTGAATACTCATCGTTTCCATTTTGTGTGAACACTTGTCGTTGTTAATTAATAGTGGATGATAATGTTTATAACTTTGAAGCTTCCCAAACTTGATAGTTGAAACAACAACGTACCATGTGAATATATTTATGTCGCCAATCCATACACCTGTTTGGTCTGACTTTGGCCTGGCTTTGTCATGGTGTGGTCACTATTTCAGAAGCTCTAATAAGGGGCAGCTCCAGTATTTGTAAAATGGAGGGTTTAAAAGAATTTGCTGATATGGGAAACAAATATAAAAAATAAGAATTCTAAAAATCTTCATTAGGATTTTTCAGGGGATTTTAATAGAAAAATCTATGACAAGCAAAGAAAAAAAAAATAGGTCATCATCTCAAATGGGTCGAAGCCACAATTTCAGACTTGTGTACTAAAGCTAAAGGCAAAGTCACTTCATAGGTCTCAAAAGGGGGGGGGGGGGGGGTGCCAGTTGTCCCTCCCTAAATTTACCATTGCTTTAAAAGTAACTATTACAGCACATCAAATCCCACCCCCCCCCCCCCCATTACGCCAAGCTATACTTCTTTACATGAATACCGTAGTATTTACCTGTACATCAAGTTTTTAAATACTTGTCATCCACAGTTTACATAATGATGTGTGAAATGGTGGAAAAGATATTTCAGCATTGTTTCAAATGAAAACTTTATAATGAATTGGGGTCATTGTCCTTGAAAACATTGAAAACTACTCCACTAGACAGGTCTTATCCTCATATGACCTGGCAATATCTCTTAATAATTTCTTTTGTGGAGGAGGGGGGGGGGGGGGAATACCATAACTTTACTTTGGCTTTCAACAATTCAAGAGAAATATAGAGCTGGACATATTGCCTTGTTTGCCTTGCTAACTCTCAATATCCGCTCCTTAACTGTGATCTGATTGGGACCCGCTTGCACCCCTCCAAGAGCTAGTAGAGGCACAGGATGCGTCCCTATGTCGTCATGAGACTCGGTGAGTCAGCCAGGCAGACGGTTTATTATTAGGCACACTTGTGGTTTTACTTAGGAAGATGACTCCCACCAGAGAGGGCGCCAAACAATTAACATCACAGCATATCAAGTGAGATGGCTGTGACACACATATTATGCCAGTGTTGTCATATGTTCAAATCATGAATCGTTCTCTTCCACATGATATTTCTATGGGAGAAACTATTTGGAGCTCCATGAACTGGCCAATCAGGAATAACTTCCAGTGTTATAACTATCTCTCTCAGCTAGCTGTGATGCACTTGCGCTCTGATGATGTCTATATTTGTGTGATTTCTGTTAAACAAAACAAGCACTTTGTACAATTCTGAATAAGCAATAAGGGAAAACTTTAGAGCCACCTGTATCTGAGGGAGTTGGCTAAAAGAACAAGTTAGGTTTGTCGTTGGCATGTTTTGTCTTTTTTTTTTGGGGGGGGGGGGGTGGTGGGGCTTGTATAACTTTGGTGAGGGGGAGGGGGTTTGAGACTCCCAAGCCTAGCTTCCTCTAGATCTGCTACTGGGTATGTTGCTTGATAAAAGTGAAGTCCACTCTCCTAAGCAGCCGAATGGGGTCAAAATCCCTACAAGTACCTATGATTATGTGTTTTTCATGCAATACCAAAAGGAACCGGATCATCAACTTGGTTTTGAACCCACGACCTCCGGTTACGGACCACTGTTCTTCTACCACTGAGCCACTGTACTTCTACAGGTAATGCCTCACCCTTTAGCTTAATATATGAAGAACCCTTCCTGAGAACGTATGGTATGTTGTATACAACATCTGTGTTGGTCTTCCAATAGAGGGCAGTATGTTAGACTGAAGAGAAGCCAACATTAATGCAAACCGGCTAACATCCCAAAAATCACTGCCTACATTGGTACTCTCTAAAAAAAATCGAGTGATCACGGACGTCACTCCTCTGGAGAGTGAAAATGTAGTGAAAATAGAGTGAACATTCACTCTTTTCTTCTTAGAGAGCACTCTAAAATCAATCGATTTTCACTCCTAAACAAGTGATCACGGACGTCACTCCCAAGAAAGTGAAAATAGAGTGAAAATTCACTCTTTTTTTTAAAGAGAGTAGGCAGACTAAAGATACATGAGTAGTTGCTATTACAAATTTTCTGATTCTGATTATAATGATCAAATAGAAAATAGGAATCAATTTGTGTTTTTTTGGTGACAATTTTGGATTGATAAACATGGCTTCTAAATTTGACAAGACTAAAATTCAAACTAATAGTACTTCAGTTCAGGAAAAATTGAGCAAGTTAGATGAAAACTTGACATGAAATCTAAAAAGAACATGTGAAATAGAGAACAGAGAGAGTTTTTATAATTTTATTTCAGGAAAAGTGATTAATTTAAGAATTAATGTTAATGAGGGATTGCAATGAATCAGGACTAATGCATATACTTTAAAAAGCACTCGAACAAATACAAAACTGCTACTCGTTAGCGCCTGCACAGCCAAACATCCAAACAGATGATATACTAGTTCTAAGACATCAACTGATCTAGAATTACAGGTACATAAACACTTTGCTATGAGCATTTGGAGCTATCATGGTAATACCAAATTATTATAAAAAAATACTAAAACACAAGCTTGCTAATGACATGATGAAGCCTATCCTAAGTGCATGCAAAAATAAAAGGCAAAATTAGATTCTTACATAATAATCCTTCAGGAAATATTAAAACAAAAACAAGACAAAAAACAATAAATATAGTGATTTTACAGATGCATTATAAGTGATGCATGCAGGTAGGATACATAGCATGATAAATATAATCATATTCTAAAAAAAAAGAATATTCAGGAAAAACATACTTAAAGAAATAATAAACATGTTGCGTTTCATGCTCAACATGAAGAAAAAAATATCTTACTAAACATATCGTCCTTGTTTTCACGAAGTGACGGTAGTGAGGAAAATTGTAACGCAAAGTGAAAGCAATTTTTTTCACTACCGTCACTTCGTGAAAACCGCGACGATATGTTGCATAATTGTTAAACCCATAGTGGCTTTTAGCATGTATTACATGTACAATGTATGTCGCCTCAGTAAATTATTGTTTATCTGATATTCCTGAGGCTTCAAATTGCTTCATTAATCAACTTATTTATCTGTTTGCTTATTGTTTGTTTATCTATTCATTTAATTAATTTATATCTTTATGAACATATTTACTATGTACTTATTTATTGTTAATTTATCTATTCATTCATCAATTGATTATTTATTTATTTATTTTATCTATTCATTTATATTTATTTATAGTTATTTATTATCAATATCATGAATACTAATACTATGAATACTATTATTACTACTATAATATCATTATTATTAATATTGTTACTGTTATCACAATTGGTATCATTATCATTATTATTACCATTACCGGTACTATTATTAGTAGTATTATGATTACTATTATCATTATTATTGTTATTATCTTCATTATCACGTTCATCATCGTTAAAACAATAATCACTTTTATATACTCTGGTATTATGGACACTGTTACACATTATACACAAACCAATTCCAACAAGATTAAATTGGGTGGAGAAAAAACAATTGTTTCATACGTACCGCTATTCTAATCAAGGTCGTTTTGACGTCTCCCCATGAGTTTGTAGATCGATCGATGATTATGACGAACCCCCTGTCAAATTCCAGACGACTAGGGGAGACAAGATACAAGAGAATATAATGTAATGATTAATTTATTCATAATCTGAAGAAGAACGAATCATAAAAAAAATTAGAGGAAGGATGTTTTCAAAGCCAAAGTATTGTCACCAAAATCCACATGCAAGTACATAAGAGATTACAAATATATACAATATAAAAATGTACAAACAGACAACAGAAAACTACCGGTATGTAAATAAAATACAAAAAGACATATTCAATTACAAAATGTCAAGAATCCACCAAAAATATAAAGGGTAGAACAAATGTAAATACTCTGTACGATATCAAAAGGCACGTCAAATTACAAACTAATGTACATATACGTCTACATAGATGACAGAAAAGTGTGCATTCAATAACAAAGATAACAAGATTTAAATAAGACAATTAATTAAAATGACCTATAACCAAGACTTAAAACAATAAATATGCTTATCAATACTGAGTAGGGAATAAACAAAAAGCAGTAAAAAAAAAGTACACTGCAAACCTTAATCATAAAGCAGCATAACAAAACCAAGAAATACTCAGAGATAAAATTCATTCAAGGAATTCAATTTTGTGTAAAACTGATATGACTAAATGCCAATCTGGATCTAAGCACATGATATTAACATAACGTGTACAATGTGCTCTATGGAAATAACTGTCAAAACACAAATCACTAACACACACCAGGGGGGTGTTTCACAAAGATCCTAAGTTGAACTTAACTCTAAGTTGGACTTAACAATTATGGAGAGCCATTTGTAGCCTTAAAATAAAATATATTAAAAAGCAAAAAATCAAGTACTTTAGACTTTTTATAAATTCCACATCAAGAACATGAAATCTCCTTGATAATAGACAATATGAATGATTTGAATCAACATGTTATGCCTTTTAAAATAACTTTTACAAAATATTTTCATAGATGCTAACGGCTTTCCATAATTTTTAAGTCCAACTAAGACATAAGTTCAACTTAGGATCTTTGTGAAACACCCCCCAGTACTTTAACTTCAGCAGCAAAATAATTATTGGAGACATCCAGTGAAATAGCTCCCTCTAGGTCAGAACTTATAAAGGTTCCAAATATTAAGATGTATCCCTTGTACGGCAAATGTAAACAAATGAATGGCATATGTGTATTCCATGCTAGAACAATCTTTACGCATATTTGACCTCATATAATTGACTCTGGTGTTATCATACTCCAGTGTAGTGCGAAATTATAAAGTAATTACTATTTATATATTTCTCATTGATTGGGATATATATTAATAGATAGGGCTATTCACATGTTGTATTGCCCTCCCCCATGAGATACCTGAAATATCACATAGCAAGATGCAGAATATTATTAAAATGCTGCATGCCATGGATCTCAAAATATTAATATAATATCAGGGCACCGTTTCATAAAACGTGTTATCAATAACACATGCTTAATTTCTATAGCAAATTTGCTCTCAGCCAATTAAATGCCACAATTTCAGTAGCTTATAACAGTTACGGTAACTTGTTATTGATAACAAGTTTTTTAAACAGAGCCCAGGGGCCTGTTGCATAAAACTTTTTATCTATAACAAATGCTAAATTTCTATGGCAAATTTGCTCTCAGCCAATCAAGTGCCACAATTTCAGTAGCTTATAACAGTTGTGGTAACTTGTTCTTGATAACAAGTTTCATGAAACAGGGCCCAGATCGCAGTCAGATCATGTAGCTGCTATCTGAAGTAGATGTGAATGTGTGGGAGAATGTGTCATGTACAAGTACATGACAAAAAAATAATAGTACCCCAAAATGATCTCTGTAGTAAGTTTTAGTAGTAGTACTTATAGGAGTAGTAGTAATAGTAGTAGTAGTAGTAGTAGTTGTTGTTGTAGTAGTAGTAGTAGTAGTGGTAGTGGTAGTGGTAGTGGTGGTGGTGGTGGTGGTGGTGGTGGTGTTGGTAGTGGTAATGGGGTTGTGGTAGTTGTTTTAAGAGTGGGGTTGAAGTTGTTTCAGTTTGGTAGTGGTAGTGGTAGTGGTAGTGGTGGTTGCTTCAGTTTGGTAGGGGTAGTGAAAGTGGTAGTAGTGAGTATAGTGAAAGTGGTAGTGGTAATGGTCTAATGGTAGTGGTATTTGTTTCATTTTGGTAGTGGTAGTTTTATTGGTAGTGGTAGTAGTAGAGGTAGCTGTTTCAGTTTGGTAGTGATAGTGGTAGTTATAGTGGCAGTGGTAGTGGTAGTGGCAGTGGTAGTGGTAGTGGTAGTGGTAGTTATAGTGGCAGTGGTAGTGGTAGTGGTAGTGGTAGTTATAGTGGCAGTGGTAGTGGTAGTGGCAGTGGTAGTGGTAGTGGTAGTGGTAGTTATAGTGGCAGTGGTAGTGGTAGTGGTAGTGGTAGTGGTAGAGGTATTTCTATCAGTTCGGTAGTGGTAGTAGCAGTTTTATTGGTAGTGGGAGAAGTAGTGATATGAATTAGAAATGACAATAGAGAGAAGAGGAAGGAGGAAAGAAGAGGGAAAGCAGGACAGAGAGAGAGAGAGAGAGAGAGAGATAAAGAGACGGACATACAGAGACAAAGGGGGAGACAGAGACAGAGAGGAAGCGGTAGAGAAACAGGGAGACAGTGAGAACAAGACAGACAGAGAGAGATGAGTGGGCCTTGATCATTGGATTAATACATCATTACCACGACCCTTTGGGATAGGAAGACTTCCAATCCATTACACCCTGGTAATTCCCTCAAGCAATGTATCCCATGAATAATGATACACACATTAATATCACAGAACATCCCACAGCACCACTGCCATGCAAAATGCAATGAATTTCTAAGTATGTATACCAAGCATACATTCATCACTGTAGTACCCCACAATATAAATAATTCGCTGCCCACAAGAAAGTCATAAGGGCTTTGTATTATCAATAACACCAAACACCCTCTTGCAGGGAGCTTCCAAAATACATAATGCCCTGGATCATATCCCAGGGGGGTGTTTCACAAAAATCCAAAGTTGAACTTATCTTTTAAAGATGAAGTTGAGTTCTGGTCATGCAATTGCATTGTGAAAGAAACGGTGTGGAACCGACCAGAAAAGGTTGATCATCTAGCATATGAGAATTTGTGTGTATTGCAAGGTTCTGGAATCATCAAAATGATAAGAAATTTGGCCAAGTCTTGGTAAAGTTACAAACACTTGCACAGAAAGATGTATATGGGACTACAGGAACACGTGGCGTAAAAAGCCGGCCCCCCGATTTTTACGATGTTACATGCATATTTAGAATATGAAGGCATTTGAAGAGCCATGCTTTTCAGGGAACATGTCTTAACTGATGTTCTCCCACACTTGCATAATAAGAATGAGTAATGCTCACAAATTATTTTTCACCTCTTTCCAGAACTCAACCTTCTCTTTAAGTTAGACTTAACAATTATGGAAAGCTGTAGCATCTTTGAAAATATTTTGTAAAAGTTATTTTAGAGGCATAAAATGTCGATTCAAATCATTCATATTTTATATTTTTAAATGAGATTTCATGTTCTTGATGTGGAATTTATGAAAAGTCTAAAATACTTCAATTAAAAAAAATTAAAAAAAATTATGTTAAGGCTACAAATGGATCTCCATCATTTTTAAGTCCAACTTAGAGTTAAGTTTGAGGGTAAACAAAACACCCACATGTTTGGTCAATGGAAGCTCTTTTTGGATTTATGGAAGGAAAAGTGAGATTTTAAGCACAGTAATTTGAGTCTTTTTCTCCCAACCAGTGCTCTTAAAGAAATAATTTAGATCTCTTTTAGAGCATTCCAAAACTATTTTATTCACCACTACCACCTTTCTTTTTCACATCCAAGCTTAAAATATTACCCCAAAAAAAATTGTGAAAAGAGAAGTCTGGCATTCTCCACAGAGAAGCTTTAAGGTCCCCTACTCAATGAAAAACAGTTATTTCACTTGTCGTCTGGATCCAAGTACACAAGCACAATATGATACAAATTAACACAGTTTCATATATGCAATAAACTATTACATGTACAGTGAAGCCAAAAATTATTTGGACACCATGTAAAAAAGTCAAAAGTCAAATACAAAAATATTCATGTGACTTTCAGCCAGATTGCGTCTATTTCTAATTTTTGATGCATTTAAAACCTCAAATTATAAATCAATTCTTATGTGATCTATTTATATCAATCCTTTTCAAGATACTTTGAAAAACAGGGTCTCTTACGCTGCAACCTCCAAAACCTAATTCTATCTTTAAAGGCATCGATCGTTTAACAATGTTAAATCTGAGATGCACGGCCCTACGTGTTATCAGTGTCTGTGATTTGGTGTAATATTGAAGCCCTAAAAAAATTGTACTTCAAATGATCATGAAATGCCTCAAAAAAGTAAAAAACTTTAGAGTGACAGGTTTTACCATACTCATTTTCCCCAATAGACTGTAGTGTTATAAAAACCGTTAGGAAAACAAATTTTAAAATTTTGATTGCCAATCATAAATATCTTGATAATCAGACAGACGATCCGCTTGTAAAAGTCATGGGATTCCTGACTGACTTAAAGGTTTATAATCATGATTGCAGCATGAGCTATAAATCCAGGATTTTGTTTCAGAATCTAAGGCAATGTTACCGAGTCGCTTTAAGAAAACCTATTTCCTTTCATCGCACTTATAATGTTTCCTGAAGTGGTACTCAAGTACATTGCAAAATAATTCACAAATACTTCTTGCCAAGACTGAAGGGTGAATAAACAGGAGAGTGAGAGAGGGAGAGAGAGAAAGGGAGAAAGAGAGAGGGAGAAAGAGAGAGAGAGAGAGAGAGAGAGAGAGAGAGAGAGAGGGAGAGAGAGGGAGAGAAGGGGAGAGAGAAATAGAAAGGAAAGAGAGAGGGGGAGGGGGAGAGAGAGAAAGAGAGGGAGAGATATGAGAGGGAGAGAAAGAGAGAGAGAGAGAGAGAAAGAGAGAAAGAGGGAGAGGGAGAGAGAGAGAGAGAGACAGGGAGA